AGTAACCAAGATATACAATTATTTTAAAAAATTCAACTATAAAACAGTTGTGATGGGTGCATCATTCCGTAATATTGGTAAATTAATAAAATATATATTTTTATTAAGTATCACAGTTTTTAACAATTGTAACTATGTGTATTAGATGAAATTAAAGCATTGGCTGGATGTGATTTGTTAACTATCAGTCCAAAGTTACTTGAGGAATTGGAACTGTCCAATGAGCCACACAGAATATTTGACTGTAAAGAATGGTAAACATTAATTTTACTTTTACTATTAATACTTGTATTTAATTTATTGAGCATAATAAACTTTTTGTTTAGGAAAAGCTTCAGATTTGGAAAAAATTGAGGTTAATGAAGCCAAATTCCATTGGGAAATGAATGAAGACAAAATGGCCAATGATAAGTTGTCTGAAGGCATAAGAAATTTTGCAGCTGATTCTCGTAAACTTGAGAAAATTCTCGCAGAGATGTTGACCAAAATCAAATAAATACTTGTCTTGTAATGTCTAGTAAATGAAAATTGTATGTTATGGGGAACAAAATGTTGTTAAATGTGATTGATTTATAATTTCATTTTAATTATTATTTTTATTTTATTGAAAATGATGTGTATCGAGAAGAAATTTTATTAAAAAAAAAAAAATCAAATGTTTTTAATATGTTATATAATTTAATTTATAATTTTTAATGATTCATTTGTAGTTTAAAAGTTGGAGTATATAAAAGACATTTTTAATAATATTTAATATCTATTTGTCATTCTTTAGTCCCTCAACTAACGATTGATGACTTACTATTTCTATCTATTAAGAGGCCTCGCTTTAGCATTTATTTAAGGAGCAATTTCTAATCACATCGTCGCCGCCTTAGGTCTATGTGTTAATTATAAACGATTATTAGTGTGTAGTGGCGTCAATGCGGCTACCACTTCTTTCCGCATCATTATCCAGGTAGTCGTTCATTGCAATCCTTATCGCAGTATACCATATTTGATGAATTATTCATCAAATATGGTATACTACAATTATTGTAGTTATCGAAAATTAGGTTCCCTCGTTTTGATTAATTAAAAAAAAAAAAATAGCTGCAAATATTTTGCAGTGCAATGTAATTTGTACTATTATTTCTATTATTTTGGTTCATGGTGGTCTCTTATTCCCTTTATGAATCCTTTTGTGTTTTTTTCTTTTCGATAAACAAATTTTAGTTTTCATTTTATATTTGGAATTCATTTTTCTAATTACAATAACTAAATAGTCTTTACAGAAACAAACAGGGCTTGAAATGATTCACGAAAAATTTTTTTTCAGCGCTCCGATTCGTAAAAAAAATAACGTTTATCGTTCCGGTTCAAACAAATTTTTAGTGTACCTACCATATTTTGGTAAAATTTAAACATTTTGCAGAATTGTTCGTTGTAAAATATTTAATAAACGTCAAACGACCGCTATGCATAAGTATATTTATTGCTTATCTATACGACAATCGCCGTCCGCCGATAGTGTATTTTAGCTGTATTTACACAATACGTATGTGAATTTTAAAAGTTAAAAATAAAGCATTATACCGGATTCACACTATTGAAATTACTTGTATGCTTTTTCTCGCATGCTTATTTTTACTCGTGCAAGAACAAAATTGAACAAACGTGAACGTTTATAGTACGTAATGCAACCTAACCTAACCTAACCTCTTGCATGCAGTCCAACACGTCGGACAGAAGTTAAATGTTGAATGCAATTAGGTAATTTTAGACCAGTTTATTCCCGAACACGAATAGTGAATCACGTGATCAATGTGATTTCTTAATTCAAAACAAACTAATGCGCCAACACTATTTTTCTACTAATCCATTGTCGAACCCATAATCTTTTTTTTTAAAAGCCTCTTGCTTCTTTTCTAAGATTTCTTTATGAAGCATATCGCAAACAATATAAGTATTCCTATTTTGTTCGATCCATTTAACAATCCCGTTAAAAATTTAAAAAAAACAGCACTTCTACTCGCCATCAGATCACTTTTGAAACTAAACAATATTTAAATACATACATGACTAAAAATATACAAGTATATATGTAAATAGAGCTCTTAAAGCGTGTCACGGAATTCACGTGTACACGTGAAATACGTGTTTATCCAAATATATATATATCCATTTTTATAATGATGAAAATTAGTAATTTTATGTTATGCACTTGAAGTTTTAATAAATATTATTAGTACAGTATTAAGTTAAGGTTATACCTACGTTTTTATTTTGGATTTTACACGTGACACGTGAAATGTGAATTCACGTGTATTAAGAGGTCTATATGCGAAAATGCACTTTTTAATATTTAAATACATTTTTGATTTTTATATGAACTTTTTATTTTTTCGATCGATTATCGTTTGATAATACAGACTTAAAAAAATTGCATTATTAGTCGTTATTAATCGATATAAAATTATATTTTGCATATTTGTAACTATTGGTGATTTAGTTTGTTAGATGTTTATAGTTATAGAAGAACATTTAGTTGATTTATACGACGTATAACATCACTTTCTGAAGCATAATACTGGTTGAACATTGATATCGAATTCGAACGAATTGAATTTATTTATTCATTCGCATTCTGATTTTAGTGTTCAGATTTTGTTTCAGAAAAGTACCTGTTTAGAACATCAATTATAATGATGAAAAATGTATCAATGGTATCTGGCCAACCGAGTGCAGGAGATGCTATGAGTAATGGCAACAACTACAATCATTCATTTCCAGCTTTGCCAGTTTTGAAGACTTCGGAGACAATTGGGACTGCACAATTTAAAAAACGGAGTAATTTCAAATCTTCAACGGTGAACGAAGTAATTTATTATGCCATTTTAATAGTAATTAATAAGTATTGGATCGATCAGTCTGATATTGACTTGTAACATGGTCGCATGTCAGTGCGATTATAATTTGCCCGTTCCGTTACCGCAATTTTAGTTAAGTTACTTTATTAGTTTATTTAAGTTAAGTTAGTTAGTTCAGTTTACGGTATTATACGAGTATTTATGCGACTTCACTTTCAAGATGGACAACATACCCTCTCCGCTTACTACCAAACCCAAACGGTCGCTGCTATCATAGCATAATTCTCCAATCCATACGGGGAAAAACACTAAACCGTTTCGCCTAATCGTTTTGCTGTCTTTTCGAGCGAAGTGGACAAAGAAATCAAACTCGACACCTCCTATGACGTACATAATATAACCAAAGAATCTATTGTTAAAAACATCAGGTCACTATATATATCAGATGCCCTATTGGAATTAGATTCCCGCAAAAGAATTACGAATGTTATTCAAAATGGCCATACGCTTCCGCTGTTCATTGTTGTAATTAATCCAAATACAATTTTTAATGAATCATCAATGTTGCACACTAAAATTTAAGTCGAATTACCCAATAAGACTTATAGTGATACACCTCAGTGTCTAAATTGACATAGCTACGGTCACTCTACGCTAACTATTAACATCACCATACAGGAAATGATGGTGATCCTTCATCCTTCACGCTGTGTTAAACGCAGGGGAAATCACTCTTGAAACAGTTACATTAAAGAGAAAGGCAGTTTAACCAAGTGCGGCTTTTGCGCGGGTGATCATACTTCCAACTATAAAGGTTGTTCTAAACATGAATTACTTCTTAAACGTCGCAAAACAACCTACTTGTAATCATCAAAATAAAAATATTGTACTCACGTCTCCTTTTATCAAATTTTTTTCCAAAGCTTCTTGCGCCTCCATCACTGGTTCTAATAATATCCTATTACCAAATAGTCCTATGGACGATATACCGTTTTCCAATTTATCTCAGATTATCTGACATTAATAAATCTCATATTTACCCTTCTTTTATAATTACAGCTCTTCTACGCAATCATCTTACTCCTAAGCCCAAATTCTTTTCTACTTTATTCTTTTAAATGATCACGTCTTTAACCAGTTTATATGTTATCTGTTACTTTTAAATTTTAATTGGTCAGTCAAAATTAACTCTTATTTTATAATTATCTCAAATTATTATATTTTACTAATATTATTTTATGATAATGATTAGTGTATATTAATGTTAAAATGCATACTTGGTTATCTTACATAATTTAATTGTTGAGCTATAATAACTTTGTGTCAAAAGTTAAATAAAAAATAACATAAAAATTATAGAACGATAATTTATATATTAAAGAACATCATTATTATGATTTTAAATAACATTTTTCTATATGAATAGTAATAGTTTAGAAAGTTGTTGTTGATTTATATCTAAAATATAAATAAAAAAAATATCTTAATTTTTATTTTGTAAAATTTGTAGATAATTACTATACCTGCCCAAGACAGACATTGGGACATGAATGGTCAATTAGAGCACGAAAAATGTAAAGAAGCATATATGAAAATTGGAAAAGAGTATAATGTAGGAATAGAGATTTGTATTTCGAAAACCATGGATCTTACTTTACAAATCAGCGGCAATAGAGTTAATGTTAAACGAGCAAAACAAAAGATTATCACAATCGAACAAACTCAAGTAAATAAGTTTTAATTAAGTTGGAATTATTAAGATAAACTGATAAAAATAATATTTATTTTATATATATATATATATATTATATTGTTGTGTACAAATTATGAATAATTTAAAATGTTTGATGAATCATTTGTTATTTTATAGTTTTATTACGGATAAATAAATAATAAAATATTTTTTTTAGCAATTTTAACTAAAACATTAAAATTTCAGATTAAAACTACTACTACACCATTTCCAAAAGAACATCGAAGTACGTTATTGGGCAAACAAGGACTTAATCTAAAGAATGTTGAAAAACGTACAGGAGCACGTATTCAAATACCGTGTATGAAAAATTCGGCTGACATAATTTATATAACCGGAACAAAGGATTCCACGAAAAAAGTAGTTCAAGTATGTATTAAAAATATGTTTTAATGAATCGGAATTTAAGTTTAACTCATTAAAGTAAATTAATTTTCGAAAAGAATGACTAGAATGAATAGGTTGGAGAAAAATTGACAAAATAGATAATGCCTATTTTTAAAGTGGTTAATTGTGACAGTACTAGTTTATTTATTTTATTAATTAAATTAAAATTAAATCTTTTAATAAATATTTGAAAATTTCCCGGTTTCTAAATTAAAATGCCGATAATTTTTATTATACTTTTATAGTAAAATATAAATTAATGAGGATTTTAATATTGAATTTTGATATAACTCTATACAAATTCAATGAACTTTTAATTTTAATATTATAGGTTTAAAATTTTTTAAAAGATTTCTGATGTTTTTTATAATTTTGTTTTTCAAAAAAATTACAAGTATTATGTATTAACGAAATCGGATATTTTAACAAATTTCCATCAAATAGTTTCATTCGTAATTTTTTAATAATTAAAATTTTTGTTAGGAATTGGAGGAAATTATAATTAAGTTGAAAAGTAAAATTGAAAAAGAAATAACAATTGATCAACGTCACCACGGAGCGATAATTGGATTCAATGGTGAAAAAGTTCGAGAACTTCAGAAAATATTTAATGTTAAAATTATATTCCCCAGTCCAGGTAATTAATAGTATTAATATGTTTGTATTTTTTGTATTTTGAGAGTTAATAAAAAATATTTGGTTCGATATTTTAGTTGAGGCTAGAAATAATTTAGTTAAAATACAAGGTTTAAACGATGATGTAAATAAAGCATTTAAATCATTAGCTGAATTGGCCGAAGTATTGGATGAAATAAACTATGTGTTAGAAATTCCTATTTTTAAACAATTTCACAAACTTAGTGCTAGAAAGAGAGCAATATTTATTAAAAAGGTAATTATTATTTATTAACTTTTGTGATTCGACCTATAGAAATATTGTTATTTACATAATTTAATATTCTAGATCAGAGAAGAAACTGATACGAGAATTTTTTTACCACGCGAAGGAGACAATAAGAATATTATTAAAGTCATGGGAAATAAAAGAAAAGTTTTAATCGCTTATGATATGATTAAAGAAATACAAAATGAAATTGTTGGTTTTTATAAAGATTATTTATTTTTCAATTTTATTTTTAATTTATCAATCATGTATTTTTAGGGAGACATAATAACAAAGGAAATGGTGTTGGGAAATGTTAAAGTTAGAAATGCCATTGTAAATCTTGGGAATAAATTCATTCAATCTATTAAAGAAGATTGTGGGGATAATGTGACATTAAATTTACCAACTGTTAAAGGAGATAATGTAAGAATATACTTATTTATTAAACTTATAAATTAAAATGACAATTTAACCAATTTTATAAGTTATTAT